ATCAACTAAATATATACGAAGTATAAAAGAAAATTACAATATGATTATTAGCCCCACAAAAGTACCATAAAAACATACTCCATGCAAATTGGTGGCAAGAGAGGATGGTTTTAAAGATTAGTCGTGAAAGAAGAAAACGAAGGGATAGTGCAAGACCGCAAGCCGGCCTGGACTCGGGCCGGGTGGCCCAACCCGGAACCGGCCCGGGGCCGGTTTTGTGCTGAACTGGCCCGGCCCGGGGGGTTCCCGGTGCGGGCTCGGGTCACCCAAAAGCCAGCTGGTTCGGGCCCGGTTCCGGGCTTTTTAATTATTTTTTTTTTTCAATTTTTTTAACTTTTCAGGTTGGGCTGGGTATTTTGGGTGGTTTGGCGGGGTAGGGGGTAATTAGGAAAAGGGAGAAAACAATTGACCCGAGACCCGACCCGACCCGACCCGACCCGACCCGGTGGCTACCCGGGCCGGTCCCGGGCCCACCTATTCAGAACTGGCGGCCCGGTCGGGCCTAGGCCCGCCGGTGGCTACCCGGGCCGGTCCCGGGTCCACCTATTCAGAACCGGTGGCCCGGTCGGGCCTAGGCCTGGCTCGGGCCCGAACCGGCCCGAGTCCACCACTGTCCGCAAGCAACAATCTATAGTCTTATATAGTAAAGTTGAGTTAAAAACTAATGATGTGTCAACATCTTATTGGACAATGCAAATCCTATATACAACAAGTAAAACAATTAATTAACACTCTAAATAAATCATGGCTATTTAAAAAAGAACTCCCTACATATTTGGAGCAAAGGTAGGAGAAATAATCTCTCTTTTTTAAGTGATATAACTTTTATATTTATAATCCAATTTTTACAAAAAATATATATCAAGATTCATAACTTTTTAAGATCTTTCATATGACAACAGTATCATATATAACAAATATAAAAATCTATTACTCTCTACGTCCCGTAGAAAGGCTCTCACACGATTTACAATATTTTACTGATCATAAAATTAATTGATCTGTGTCCGTAATTAGATTCTTTTTAGTGAATAAAATTTACATATTTCATTATCAATTCAAGACCTGAAAGATGAAACGTATCGGTATAGGACCCGAATGATGAAACGTATCAGTATAGGACCCGAATGATGAAAAACTGTCAATTTAGGACCTACCATTTCACAGGTTTTGATTTGTTTAATTTTTTTTTATTAATTCCATTACTAAATTTTTTATAAATTGTTCTTCACAAAATTTTATTAGTTTAATACAACTAAACAATATTTTAAAATTTTAAAATATAAAATAATAAAATTTATGACAACTTAGGTCCTAGATTGATAGTTTTCAATCATTCAGGTCCTAAATTGATAGTTTTTCATCATTCGTGTTCTATATCGATGCATTTGATCATTCAGGTCTCGGATTGATAATTCGTCTATCTTTCGGGTCCTGAATTGATAAATTTCCTATTTTATATAGCAAAACTTAGTTAAAAATTCTATTATTACTACATATAAAACAATTAATTCATATAAGTTGGCTTGGTTCATCATTGCTATTCACTACATGTATCTCTCTTCATTTGGAGAAAGGGAAGGAGAAAAAAACTTTTTTAATGTATTACGGAGTATAACTTATTTATTTGTACTCCAATTTTTCATAAAACACATCAAAATTTATAATTTTTTATGATCTTTCATATGACACAAATATTGTATAGATACAAATAAAAACATTATTTTATAGAATAGATTTGGGTTAAAAATCAATGAGGTGTTAGTCTCTTTTTGTTTAAAAAGAATCTTTTTTAATGTATTATAACTTATTTATTTGTACTCCAATTTTTACAAAAAACATATCAAAATTTATAATTTTTTTATGATCATTCATATGACACAAATATTGCATATATAAAAATAAAAAACATTATTTTATGGAATTGCTTTGGGTTAAGAATCAATGAGGTGTTAGTCTCTTATTGGTTAATAAAACATTTATCATCATTACTACTAAAACATTTAATTAATCCAAGTTGACTCGATGCATCTGTTGTATTGACCTGGTGCATAAGTGTTATTTATATTAATCACACCAACTCATTTGGAAAAAGTGGGGAAAAATCTCTTAAAGTGCTATAAGTCTATAACTTTTTTATTTGTACTTCAATCTTTGCAAAAGTTATGTCAAAATTCATAAATTCTTATTTTATATAATAAAATTGAGTTATAAATCATTAATATGACTGCTTCTTATTAGTTAATGAATTCTATTATCACTACTACTATAACATTTAATTAATTCAAGTTCACTCGGTGCTTCATTACATTTTACTTGGTGCATCACTATTATTCACTTCATTCATGCCAACTTATTTACATAACGTGCATGAGAATTTTTTTCTCTTTTTTTTTGTACTCCAATTTTTATAAGATATGTATCAAAATTCATTAGTTTTATCATCTTTCATATTAAATCAATATTGCATATATAAATAAAAAATATATTACTTTTATATGATAAAACTGAATTATGAATCAATAATGTGTGAGTCTCTTATTGGTTAATAAAAGGGATATTACCCGAAATAGGACTAAAAAGTTTTCAAAAATCCAAAATAGGACTGACATGTTTTTATTCCCAAAATAGGACTAATTACTGCCATGTTTTGGCAGTACCAGACTTCAAACATGGTTGTATATTCCAAACTTGGCAGTAATTGCTCCTATTTTGGAAATAAAAAACATGGCAGTCCTATTTTGGAATTTTCAAACTGTTTTAGTCCTATTTTGGGAAGTTTCCCTTAATAAAAATTCTATTATCACCACTACTAAATCATTTATTTAGTCTAAGTTCACTTGGCACATTACTGCTATTTACTCCGTGCATCACCGTTATTCACTCTGTGCATCACTGCTACTCATTTTAATTCAATCAACTCAAAACATCTTCAATGCTACAATGAACATGGTGCATATGTGACACAAATATGTAACATTAATTTAACTATACAGCCAAATATTACTTACTTAATAATACTCCTTTATTAAAAACTTAATAATACTAATAATACTCAATCACATAAAATATATTGAAGTTATTCAGATCATATTTTAAATTAGAAAAACTCATATTAAAAAAATTCACATCGCGGGATCATATATACAAGATTAGACCAGATCAGAAATATTCATATTAGCTTAGACTAGATCTTAAAATTTTCAGATTATAAATATTCATATGAGGCGTATTGAACAACTTCTTAATATCACCCACATTGGTAGAGTTTGATTCTTGGAATAAATACCATATTAATTCAGTTTCAAAATAATTGTACAACATCAAATTCTCTGAATAACGAGACTCTAATACATGTGATAGGGCTCTAATAATATAAAATTAATTTGACACATTTCAGTAAGGCTCTAATTCAAAATCAAGTTCTTTAAATAATGGAACTTTAATTCATGTGGGCGGGAATATAATCGTACAATATCAATAATACACGTGAATATCCAAATTAATGTAAATTGTAAACTCCACATATTCCCAATTCCAATTCAATAGTTCTTCTTATCATCCCTCATCATATAATTAGCTCTATTAATAATTAGGATGTTTTTACTTGGACTGTAATTTACTGGTCTGGTCTGATCTAGACTGGTCTGAACCGGTCTGATATGGTTTCTTTGTATTTTTATAACTACACAAGTCAGGTCTGGTCTGACCTGGTCTGGGACAAATTACCGTCCAAGTAAAAACATCCTTAATTAATAACTATTACAACAATAAACACATAAACCAAAATATAAACACAAATTATTACTTCCAAAGATGGTGATTTTTGTCTCTATTCCATGGTGGTGGTTAGTTTATAAAAGAAATCGTCAAAGTTTTGATCATATCTTATGAATAGTTCACAATGTTTAAACATTAGTATTTGTCATCTAACCATATCAAATTAACACTACCGGGGCATGCCCCGGGTGTTACACTAGTTCGTTTTATTTGGAAGTTACAAATTTGGAAGGGAGGTTCACAAAAATTATAGTATTGAAGTCAAACATTCAATTCAAATAGTTAAGTTTGCATTCATTTTAAAATAATCTAATCATATTTATCCTTCAAAAGTTTTCTAAATTGGTGGAACTTTAAAAAATTGAATATTTCAAGAGTTAAGAAATCCATTCAAAACACCTCTAAATCTCTAATTTTTTAAACTCTTAAACAAGAAGGGAATGGTCATAAATATGGGTGGACCAGTTCCGGTTCGCGCCCGGTTCGGGCCTAGGCCCGGCCGGGCCTCAGTTCAGAAATGGGAGGCCCGGAACCGGCCCGGGTGATCCCGGTTCCGGTTCGGGCCGGGCCGGGCCTCGGTTCTATTTTTTTTTGTTTTGGCTTTATCTAATTAACCCCCAACCCTCCCCCCTCACCCCCAAACCACCTCAAATGGCCCAAAATACCAAGCCCAACCCAAAAACTTAAAAAAATTCAAAAAAAAAAAAATAATTTTGCCCGAACCGGGCCCGAACCGGCCGGGCCGGTTCGCCAATCAAAGGGCCCGGGCCCGAACCGCACAGTAACCGGGCCGGGCTGACCCGAACCACCCCCCGGACCGGTTCCCGGGCCGGGCCGGTTCAAACAGTAACCGGGCCAGGCCGCCCGGCCCGAGTCCATCCCTAGTCATAAACCATCTACATCCTTGACTCCTAAACAAACCCTAAATCCCAAAATGACACCCCATCCCTAATTCCCTAATAGTCAAAATCCCCAAAAGGCCCAAATGGATTTAGTAATCATACCCTATCACTATGAACAAAAAGCATGCACGCGTTTGAATGACAAGTGAATCACTGTTGGACATTGAGCTTGAGTGAAGTTCTTACATAACATGTGTAATTTGCAAGTGTTTGGCGAATCTAACTGTTGGGATGTTAGGTTTTCATTATAAATTTATAATCATCGTTGGAACATTTTGGGTTCCAGTAAAGTCCAATTGTTGAGTTGTTAGGTTTTTATTATAATCATCATTGGAACATTTTGGGTTCCAGTGAAGTAAAAAACCAGACTAGATAGATTAAATTTTAACAAGCTTAATCAGTTCACTTGAGCACAATCAATCCAATAGAAGATGGGCACTAACAAGGGCAGCAGCAGCTCATTGAACACTAAAATCTTCAGGAAAATAAAACAGCAGGCATATTACCAATAAATTATGCTAAAGTTCCACATCAATTATGTAACAGTAACCAGAAGTCAAAAGACCACAATGAGTCCCAACAAAAAAACACCGCGTCTAACAAAACCACATAAGATTGAAGCAGTACTTGGCAGGCAGCATAAGTATAGCGCATTCCCCCAGCACCCAAATGCAAAAAAAATCCTGTAAAAAGATTGTATAAGCTGTCATTAAGCATGTAGCACTTAGAAAAAATGATTCCTTTGAAGAATGATTAGTGTGCTTACATATTTTGTTGAAAGCCACGATATCGCAGCTCTGAACATATTCATTGATAGGTTCAACAGTGAGATGATTCTCCACAAGATCATCAACAGAAACAAGGTCATCCACGACTGTGAGCATGATTTGTAGTTTCTTAATTCCATACCCAACTGGAACAAGTTTGCCTATGAAAAAGCAATCAATGGTTGAGAATCTAACAAGTACAGAGGACAAAATCTACACTGAAACTTCAACAATCATTTTTTAGGTCCACCACCAGTACCAAACTTATTAAACTAGAAATGATGCCTTGAGAAGTGTGCATAGAATGCAATGGGGTGAAGGATTAATGTTATGATGCTAGGGAATTAAATAAGACAAAGCATACAAAAATTGCAAGAAAATAAATACTAGGGTAATGTTTGTTTTTTTACTTTTTAAATAAATTTCTATTATGTAGTATACAAACAAAACTTTAAATCAGATTTGTTTTATATTCTAACTTTGAATCGACATGAAAACAACACTTTTCACAGATTTTATTTTCTTCGCTGTTCATAACATGGATAAAGTGTATGCCAATTAAAATGTTTAGGGAGGTCAATACACTAGATATATACATATGTGTGTGTGTGTGTGTTTGTTTGCAATGTGAAGATAAAAAAAAGGTACACATACATGCACCCCAAGATAATCCTTCCATTGAAACACTTTTAACAGCTTCTTCAAGCTTTTTCATGTCAGTCTCATCATCCCATGGCTTAACATCCAAAAGAATTGAGGATTTTCCAGCTGAAATTAAAAAAAGAAATCAAATCAAGGACATTTAGTAGTCAGACCTATGGAATGTAATGTTATCCCGGGGTTTCATTCAAATTAATATTGATAATAAAAAAATCAGGAATATAAAAAGAAAACTCACATTCTTTCTTTTTAATAGAGGCCTTAACAGCTGCAGAACGTTCTTCAGCAGCCTTCTTTTCCTCTTCAGTCTCCTCTCCAAACAAGTCAACATCATCATCATCATCATCATCCTCAGCAGATGCAGCCTGTATTTCATATTCACAACTAATTTAAACACAGTGCAAAGAATGAAACTACCAACTTTTATCATGCCCACCATAACATACAATTTGTACAGTGAGATGGTTAAAGAGAGCTAAAAAATAGTGAGAAAGATATGATCATCAGGTCACAATAAAAAAAAAAAGACCAAGCCAACAGGTGTACTATACACTCAGGGGGCGTTTGGTAGGATGTAAAATAATTACTTTACATGTGAAATGTAAGGACGTAAAATGTTTACACCGTTTGGTTTGATTATTTAATGTAAACTGTAGGGCACTTTTTTAAAACATTTTGCACTGTACCATAACATACAATTTGTACAGTGAGATGGTTAAAGAGAGCTAAAAAGTAGTGAGAAAGATATGATCATCAGGTCACAATAAAAAAAAGACCAAGCCAACAGGTGTACTATACACTCAGGGGGCGTTTGGTAGGATGTAAAATAATTACTTTACATGCGAAATGTAAGGACGTAAAATGTTTACACCGTTTGGTTTGATTATTTAATGTAAACTGTAGGGCACTTTTTTAAAACATTTTGCACTGTACCATAACATACAATTTGTACAGTGAGATGGTTAAAGAGCTAAAAAATAGTGAGAAAGATATGATCATCAGGTCACAATAAAAAAAAACAAGCCAACAGGTGTACTATACACCCAGGGGGCGTTATGTAGGATGTAAAATAATTACTTTACATGTGAAATGTAAGGACGTAAAATGTTTACACCGTTTGATTTGATTATTTAATGTAAACTGTAGGACACTTTTTTAAAACATTTTGCACTGTACCATGTAAAGTATTTTACATAGGGGGAGGGTGATAAACTAGTTTATATCTTCTAAAACGAATGAATAAATATATCTGATAAGAATTTCAACATCAGTTTCTGTAGATTGGATTGCGATGGCAAAGCAAATATATTGGCCGCAATAAACTCGTATTTTCTAATCGTCCACCCATGTCATCGAATTGACAAATTCTCCTCCATCTACGTTGCTCTATACTTATTGCTACAAGAGGTTAACTTCAACACACTAATAAATTCCTAGTCGGTCTTTAGATTTGATTAATATTCTAAGATTTGATGTTTGTATGAATTTTGAAGCTAGACTACGGGAGTTTTTTAGTTTTTTTAAAAACCTTTTTGAAACATGAGTAAAGAGTTTGTGTGTCATAGATTGCATAGATAATCAAACGTTGTATTTTTAGTTTACATGTAAACTAATTACGGCCCTACATTTTACATGCAATCATTTTGCATGTAAAGTTTTAATGTGTAAACTACCAAACGGGCTCTCAGTGACAATAGAACTTTCATACCAAAGCAAGATCAATTACAAATCTGGGTTACCTTCGGGTCAGATGCAGGTGGTGTTGCCACACACTCAGTGACAGGTGCAGAACCTTCGATAATAACACCACAACCTTCTCCAGTTACACCACTGGTGAAAAAGGGAAGTCAAAAAAAATATTATATTATAGAAAATACTATGAGCTTAGGCAACCATAATACAAAAAGGTATGCTTTAGTTAGCATGATGTTGCAGTTATTTGCTCACATAACAAGAGAAATAACGACGGTACAAGCATGAGGATTTTCAAAGAATTCAGAACATACGAAATTCGCAAGAGCGCGTCAATGTGGTTGTACCACCGAGAAATATTTACTAGTTGTGGAGATGGGGGCTTGGACAAGGATGAAAACACCACAATGTCATCTTTGGATGCTTGATACCTGATCACAGAATAATTATTATAATATTCTAAATTTAAAATTTAAGATTAAAATTAAAATTAAGATCACAAAACAAACAGAAAACAATGCTGAAGTTAGTGACCCACCCAGTGACATAACTACGACTCAAAAGGTACTCATCAAGCTTCTGGAGGCCAGAATCAGAACTAAGGTTGTGGAATGTGACTGCCATTTCTGAATAACAAAGTGATAACCTGTAGGCAAACAGAAGAGAGGACTCCATTCAGAAACACAGCCGCTAAAATCTATTTGTATGACTTGATTGCCATTTATATTTGATGAGTCCAAGTAACAGTAAAGGTCAGAACAGAAAAATTTAAGACATAATCTTTAATATATACTTCTTCCTTCCCTTAAAACTTTGAATTTTTTTTTTTGGGTCTTCCGAAAAACTTTATGACATTCAGATTTGAAAAATGACAGCATCCTCTACTTAATAGAACTACAATATCCCAAAACAAAATCCCGCTCAAACCATTTTTTGGGTTGAGAATTTCCACATCATGGCTGTAGATTTAAATGGGCTACTGGATAAACCAATACCTTGATAGGCTGCAAATAGTTATATTGTGCTCCTTTTTTATTAACATTTTTAGTACCTAAATATACGATTTTATAGCAAAAAAAAAACAATTTTGCAAGGAGGAAAATTAAAATGTGATATATTTTGCAAGAAACGCACTAGTGTATACTCTGTATTAAACTTTCAATAAACTAAATAATTCAATCAGGCCATTTAAACTGAGATACAATGAAAATTGATAGAAGATACGCTGGTAAACCAAAACCTCATAGACCAACTTTTGATAAATTCGCACACTGAATCAGAACACAATGAAAAAAAAATTGGAAGCAATCTGAATTGGTTGTGGTTAGGTACTTCATATATAAAACAGAGATTCATAACCTCAACGAAAATCAAACTTTCAAGAGGAATACTACTTTAACAGATAGATAAAAAAGTGAGCAGGTCAATTAAAAATAGAAAAAAAAAATGATTGAAGTTACCGGAGAAGCTTCCAAAGACCAACAAAGATTTCAGGCTATCAGGAGTTTAAGCTATACAGAAGATCGGCGAAAGAGAGAGCTTTAAAGTGAAATTAGGGTTTGCCGGATTGCTGTTGTGGCCCCGAAGAACAGTAGATGCGGGGGATGCAGGTCCAAAAAAATTAAAACTGTTTAGGCCCAAATGTTTACCTTTGAAACAGGCCTGATTAGACTGATAATTCAGCCCTAAAGTTTTATCTGGTCCAACTGACGAAAGGCCCAATATTATCTAAAGGCGTAAGCATCTCTGGATCCATCGACAGCTATCGTCCCCAAACTGTCGAAGGCTCCGCTAAGTCGCCGGCTCCCTTCCCGGCTTTACCCTCCGTCAGGCGCCACAACTCCGCCATCACTCACATCACGCCCGTCTCCCGCTCTCCGCCACTCACCCTTCGGCGGTTCGGCCAATCGACACTTCTCGATTTTCACTTCCAACCATCCGGTGGTTCCGGTATTCCTTCAGTCCTCTTTTATTGATTAGCTCATTAATTCATAACTTTTGATAAATATTTAGTTAAATTAGTGATATCCTTGTGTTGAAACCTTAGCAAATCCAGAAACCCATTTTGATTCATTCACTTGCGTCAACCAGAACCATTCAGAAAGATATTACAAGTAGATATCAAATCTTTACCTAAGCTTTCCAAATGGCAGAGAAAATTAATGTTTTTTATTTTCAAAAAACATGTCTCTCTGTAAGTCAAAAATCACTCCAGAAATGTTTATTCATTTGCTACATTTTTATCTTCCAAAACATATACTTATATTTAAATACGATTAGTTTGCATACATAGCCGTACGCCTATATATTTGTAGTGTCTCATTGCCATCTGATTTAGTTATTGACTTATTGAAACATTATTTGAACGCAAAACTGATTTTTTAAATAGACAGTGTACATAACTATAATTGTAATCAACACGATCATGTTAAAATTTACTTTGGAGTGATAATTATAGTGTCCACATAGTAATTGTAGTCATTTTTTCTCCATAAATTCTATTTTTTCTAATATTATAAGAAAATCCACATATATAACACTATAGAATAAATTTTAATAAATTAGTACAAATGTATGACCTTTTTATAATTCTCTATCAAACGCTTGTTGTGAATATTTTTTTCGTGTTCAGTTTTATTTATCATATGTTAATACCATTTGCAACATTTGTCCATTATAACTAAATAAAAGTCAAAACGTATGAAGTCCTTATGTACTCACAATAAAACCATTTTATTGCATCTGTTAAAAAAGTCAAAACAGCCTTCTGATTTTCTTTTAATATTTTTTATTAAAATTTTATAGTTTAACTTTCTAAATATTATAGCAAATTTTTTTATTGTTTTACTTTTCAAATCATAAATGGAAAAATTGTGAGATAGAAGGAGAAGGTTTTATACCTTGACACTATTTTTACAAGAACTTATGGTGTTGTTTATATTTAGCGTGTCAACTGACACCACATGTTTATATGTGCCTCTGTCCCTAGTGTTAATTTTTGAAAGAAGTAAGGTTGCTCGCATTCCATGAAGTGAAAACCTCAAATTTGAGGTATTCACCCCAAATATGCTCCAACCCAAACTAAATAATGTATTCAAGGGTGTCAAAGTGCATGTGTGACACCCTTGGGATGAGAAGCTCATACCCTTATTCAGAAGGAAGAAGGTAGCACAAAAGTCAGCAGAATTCAAGAGAAGAGTGTAGCTCGCATGCAAGACCCAAGTAGGAAAAAAACCTTATGTTTTAAAAATAATCTTATGCTTCCTCCACCTTTCGCTTTCTCCTCACACGAAACGTTCTTCCTTCCTCTCTTACCCCCCCCCCCCCCAATTCACAAAAACATAGAAAAAGTATAAATCACTGACATGGAATTCGTATTATTTAGATCTGCAAATTTGACTTTTAATTTGACCAAACTTTAACCTTCAATTGCCCCGCTAATCTTGCCCGGTTGCCTCCCTCAGATTTTATCTTGTCTGTGCAGTTCAATTCGTAAAGAAGAATTGATTTAATCAATAATCCCTACTGGTTTTCCATCTGCATAGATCTGGCAGAGCACAAGGTAGAATTGTTTTTAATCTTTTTATTTATATCTACTCCTTAGTTATAAATCTATTCTTTGCATGTATCATGACAACAGCCAAAGATGTTCACGTTTTTTGCACTCTGACTTGCTGTTTACTTTATAGAACTCGAATCAAGGAGATTTGACAATTTATACACCCGAATCTTCTCACCAAAATATTGGAATCCACTTTTTCTTCAAATCAGGTAATACATGTTAAATCTTGTAGATTAACACAAGTCAATTCAGAAGAGAATATTCAAACTTTGCCAACTGAATTTAAATCTTTATAACCCTCTTCACCATGTTGTAATAATTGGTTTTGCACAGGATTCAAAGTTTGCCAACTGATTTTTTTTTTGCCTTTTACTAATAAAAGAATAGGCAGCTATGTTTTTTGCATGTAAACCTAAGAGAAAATCATTTGGAGGGAACAATGTAACATACTGCGTCTATTTTTGACATGAATGGAAGAATCAAACTTCTATTTTACTTCATAATTCATTGAGTCGGTACATGGTTTTAATTTATATTTAAACACAAAAACATTTCAAATATACTTCAGCTGCCGCTGGAAATCGCAACACAAAGTAATGACTTCTTCTACTTAAAACACAATACTATGAAATCATGTAAAGTTTTTGCTAACATAAACTCTGTATTGTTGACATACATAGTTCATAATCCATAAATATGTACGGAGTATATATTTATTTTGACAGAGTATTATATATTTAAAGGCGTACTACACACATAGTTATACATAATTATGAAATATCTAATATGGCATAGATATATTTGGCAAGACTGTTAGACACAACACAAAAAGACCATATTGAAGAACCAGCCCTACTTCTTGTTCACATTTTTGTGATACTCATTTTAAGGGTTTAATGCACCAAACCCCCTTGTGATATAGAAATCTAGCGCATTAGTCCCTTTGATTTAAAAGATGCGTCAAACCCCCCGTGTTAAGGTTATTCATGCACCGAACCCTTTTATGATCAAATTTTGGTATATTTGGGTTGAAGCCTGTCCATAATCTTGTACCATATTTAGCGCACATGTTAGCGCATATCTCACATGTTTAGTACACCAAACATCTTGTACCGTATTTAGCGCACTGAGGAGTCAGTAGGGTAACTTTTATTAGATGGGTTTGTTTTTAGTTATGTAAGATGTTTTTTGAGGAGTGGTGAGTTTGTTGTTACTACTTTACCTAACATATGATAAAATTGTTTGGTGAGTATGCATGCCTAGTGAATAAGGAGTAAATACACTTGTTTAGTGCAGATTTCGGAGTGGCAGATAATAGAAATTGTGGACATTGTCTTAATCTAAATTAGTAAGAAGCTGACCAGATTCTCAAAATTTATTTCATAGAACAAGGATAAAAATCTGAGGTTAATTTGATTTTTGCCTAATTAGCTTTCTTTTCTAATCATCTCCTTTGTTCGGCTGGAAAATGAACAGACTTTCAACTTGTTCCCCATATCTTCCACTTCCAACTTTTCTCTCCACTTGTGGAACATTTTGCATAAACGAGTCCCACCTAATTTTGTTCCACTTCCCTTGCTTTTGTTTCCATATTCATTCCCCTTTTTTTACTGTTTGGAATTTGGCCTTCAGGGTTCTGCCCTCCAATATCTAATAACCATTTTTCTAGGGGTCAACAAAAAATCATCTCTACTCACGTGGCACCCAATCGTCTGATTGGTTAGATTACCCCATTGTAAATTTGTAATCAACGATCAAGATGAGCTATCATGCACGGCGAACCCTTCCACCCGGAGCGTTACGTAATCGGAAAGAGAGGGAAACTGCGTCGTACTCCATGTGGCCCAGTAGTCCAGTGATGGCTGTTAACAAAGCTACGGTGTCATCAAAACAAGCTGAACCATTCTCCTCGAACCGGCTCTTAGCTGGGTACATGGCCTACGAGTTCTTAACTAAAGGGACTGTGTTTGGTCAGATCTTCGACCAGGCTCGAGCAGAGGCTGTATCTGCGAGTAGTACAGATGAGGTGGGAAGGGGGAAGTCTGGTACCGAACCTGAGCCGGAGCAGGGGAACCAGGCGTACAATGAGGTGGCAAGCCTGCTGAAGAGTGACGGCGCCCACATCCCTGGCATAGTCAATCCGACCCAGCTGGCTCAATGGCTTCAAATGTAACATCATGGTGAAGAAACTAGGTGCAACCGTGCAAGTGGGAGGTTCTCATTGGCAGGTAGTTGCAGTTCATTTTAAGAAACATGGAACTCAGTAAAGAAATCAGGTTTAGCTTGCATAGTTTGTATGACCATGAAATCCAGTATTTTGTTCATGTTACTTCTTCATTACATTGATACTAGTATATATTATATATGTAAATTCTGTCTGTATTTTGTAATTTGTGTTAGTTTTAAATTTTGTTATCACAACTTAATTTATATTCTGCTCCAAATTCAGAATGTGTGTACCTTTTTATAAAATGTATCATCAAATGATCTAGGCATCTTTTGATTATGTTTTTGCTGTTGCATAATCCAAAAATTAATCATTACCACTGATTATAATTGGGATTTGGGGTTTGACATTGCAACTTGTTCTCCCAGGTTTTTCAAAAACTTTATAAAAAATTGTTTTTTCTTAAATATCTATTTTTAGCTTGTTTTTGTTTTGTTTAAATTTTACACATAATATCGGTACCAACACTTTTACATTACCAGGCACATATAGGACTTTAAATACGATAACAGTGTCATAAGTGGCAATATTTCCAACACATGGCTGTAATTGTTCCAATTTAGGCAATAAAAACATAATGTTGTTATTTTAAATTTGCAAACGTTTTTTTTCCTATTTAAGCAATTTGCTTATAATTTAATTTTCTTATAATGTGCTATATTTAATTTTGGATTCTTCGTACCAAAATTTTCACTCAACAAAACCTTTAATTCAGTAGACTAGCTACCCTTTGTTAACACTTAACATACGGCCAATCAGTTCAATTTTCTCTTGAGCATAGTTGTTCATTCAAATAAAGGTTGGTTCGTATATTCGTGTTTAATTTATAGTTTTATGATTTTAAGAAATAGTGAAATACATTAGTATTCTAAATTTTTAGTATATAATTAGGTATTCATTATCAAAAAAATAGTTGCCCCCAATGATTTTGATTGTTACCCCTATAAATTTTAAAATTGCCCCCAACAAAGTTTTATTAGAAGAAAAATCATATGGATTATTATAAGTATGTTACTTATTTAAATTGATATTACTTGAACAAATCAAAGAAATCTATTTGTAGAAATACAATACATATGAAATTGAATCGAAATGTCCTTAAACTAAATCCAAAGACATTTGTTAATAAGTAAAAAGTAGTATAAAATAATATCCTTTTAACCTTCTATCTTTGTCCTATTTTACCTTTTTCATTTATCTCATTGAGTTTGTTCCATATCATACGGAATACTACACCCGTTCCAAATTGATTTGCAAATTTGACTTTTTTTTGTCAAACAGTCTCAGTTTATTTGCTTAATTAGGATGTCAATTTTTTGTTATATTCTAATTTGGAGTTTGCAACTTTGAAGATATTTTAATGTAATTTCTGAATATATAAATTTTAATTATTAAAAATTGAGTTAATTATTGATAGAGAGGATTGACTTTTATTATCGGTTTATAAAAAAATGTTGACTTTGCAAAATAATTTGGAACTGAGGAAGTATATGATAATATTTCAATTGTTACAATTCATTCTTATTCTATTTGCACTTAATGAATTTAAAATCAACTAACATGCGAGTAGTACTAAGAAAGCATTTTAGATTTTCTATTATGGGTCTATTTGCAACAGCTTCTGCTTTTAAAAAGTGTTTTTTTTAATGAAATGGGAAGAAGTGATTAAATAAAAGTTGATAGTGTTTGAGAAAAAGTGATTTTGAAAAGTAAAAGTGGGTAGTGTTTGGTAAAATAAGTGTTTTTTGTGTAATAGAAAAAGTAAAAGCACTTTTGACGCGGAAGCCGAGAAAAATAAAAGTTGTAGTGTTTGAAAAAATAAGTGTTTTTTTAAAGCCAAAAGCTGAGAAGTGTTTTTTTAAAAGAAGTTGCAAACCAACCCTATGAAGATGAGCAAACAAGTCAGGTAAAAGTATTTCCCTCTACGTCATAATTTTCCTTCAATTCCCATTTTCTTTAGTGGGTGTCTAAAAAATTCATCCCCATTTTCTATCCTTTTTGGGGTTCTCTTGAAACAGCTTATATGTAGTTAATATTCATCTTTCTTATCCACGCTATTTTCATCTTTCTTATGGAAGTGTAATTTTTTTTAAAACAACCCATTTGTAATTTCAATTATGCAATTTTGAATATTTTATTAAAACTTGTGCGAGCAAGATTTTAAAATAATAATCAGTAATGTATATATGGAAGCACATAAATTATTCATACATTTATCATTTAAGGGATATTAAATTAAAGTAGGATTCGACTACCCGAAGAACTGGTTAGGAAACTTTTGCTGGAACCAACACTCCCAGTCATTCTTTACTTTTTTTTGTAACAAGGTGGCTTATATTGATAATAAACCATTCAGCAGGGGACAAAAGAGATAAAGGAAACACTTCCAGCCACCAACCTTCGAACCAGCTTGAGAACCAATCACCCTAGGCAGAGAGCAATATGGTTCGCTTGTTCTGTAATGGGTCTAAATGAGCCAAACGTGACCAGAGCAAAACCATCATCACCCCTACCTAATGTAAGAGTGACAGAAATAAGCGTATGCAACAAACAAAACAAGATGACGAATGAAGTAAAAACACAAGCAAACTAAAACAAAAATAGAAATAGTCCTTCAAACCCTAGTCTCACAATTCCTCCATGGCGGCGGACGGCGGAGATCACCGCCATCCCTCCGTCTTCTTTCGCCCGTAGGAGATCACCGCCATTGGCCCTGAATTTTCGATCCTGAGTCTCCCCCCTGCAATTCCAGCTTATGATGATCATCCTTCCCTGAGAACAATGGAGTCACGGTCCAATTGAGCTGCACCGCACTGCTGCCCGATTGCCCCCAGCCCCGGCCAAGTCGGATCTATCGCCGTTGTTACTGAATCCCAAGCGATAATCTTCAAGCAACAAAGAAGCCCTTGCAATTTCTTGGTCTTCTGCTGTGAAGAGCGAAGCCGCAGCACCGAATTAAACTCAGGTCTCACCCTTCGTCTCGTCTCCAATTTCAGAAATAGAAGAGAGCCAGGTATGTCACCGATTGAAGCAAAGACGATGCGCACCAAGTAGTGGTGGACTCGGGCTGGGCGGCCCGGCCCGGAACCGGCCCGGCCCGGTTACTGTTTGGCCCGGCCCGGCCCGGGGCCCGGTGGGTCCACCGGTTCGGTTCGGCCCGGCCCGGCTGCTGGGCGGTTCGGGCTCGGGCCCTGTTTTTGGTGAACCGGCCCGGCCGGTTCGGGCCGGTTTTTAATTTTTTTTTTTTTTTGAATTTTTTTTAAGTTTTGGGTTGGATTAGGTATTTTGGGCCATTTGAGGTGGTTTGGGGTGGTTTGGGGTTGAGGGGGAGGGGTTGGGGGTTAAATAGAAGAGCCAAAAAAAAAAATATAACCGGTTAGGCCCGGCCCGGCCCGGCCCGGTTTGGCCCGGAACCGGAACCGCCCAACGGCGGTTCGGGCTCGAGCCCAACATTCCTGGCCCGAGGCCCGGCCGGGCCCAGGCCCGAACCGGGCCCGAACCGGCCCGAGTCCACCACTGGCACCAAGGCAGGAAACCTCCGGACAGAAACGGCCACACCGCCGCCGCCGGTAAAATCAAACTAGGCTAAAACCTAGAGACGTCCCCTTTTTTTATGATACCTTATGAAACCCTATTAGTTAGCAACTAAACAACCATTCTTTACTTAAGATGAAGAATATATGAGTAGAGCTGTAGAGAGAATAATAAAATGACAAATTAAGTGTAGGAAAATGTAGGAAAATATTAGAAATGGATGGATAGAAATTTTTTACGCTCCACCACAACCAACCCCACCCCACCCCCAACACCCCACCCCCCAATCCCCGTGAGGTTGAACTAGCCGGTTTTTAGCCATTAGAGGCTCTTCAATGTTCAAACTGTCAAAATGGAGCATCCATCATTGAAATGAAAAAAAATGACCCTAAGACCAAACCGGGTCTAGACCAAGCAGTCTTGGTCCCAAGAAACACCTCAAACACACCCGGGACCAGGTTATGAAACAGAGGCAGGGGGGACAGCCCTTTGCCAGAACCAGAAAACTGGTCCCGGTCCGATTCCAAACAGTGTCGGGCCCGGTTCCGATTCGGTCGGGATCGGTGGACTAGGTCCATCCCTAATTAGAAGTAATTGGTCCTCTATTCTATACCTCAACCGATCATGAAATCCTGTTCCAAATTGGCCAAGTAATCATAACTAGCCCAAAATCAAAAGGGTACCTAATTCCAGTTCCAGTTCAACACTTCAGGTGAATGGAAAGGAACCCTGAGATTGAATCCGCATCCAGAAACGTTGTAATCCACGAGTTGATAATCATGCATTAGCTTTTACACACTAAGAAGTACCAACCAGAATACCACACTTTTATATTAACATCCATTTGAGTCGATGCTCAACATTTGTAATAATACATCAATAGGGAGAATGGTGTTTGCGCAAAGCATCAACTATGCAATTGCCAACTGAGCAACTTTTTCTGAAATTGGGACACCCCTTCTATCACTGAAAGAAGAAGAAAAGATGGAAAAGAACACACATAAAAGAGAAATGAAAGAGCTTTACAAAGGGGGATAAAAGCAACAAATGTTTCATTCCTCAGTGTCATTGTTGACTTTGATCTCCAAGAGGCGATCCACGGGCTGTCTGCAAATAGGACATCTATTGGTTTGAAACCTCAAAACCTTGGCACACCCACTGCACATGCACTGCAATCAAGGATCAAGTAATATAAGTATTTGATTATTCTGATATTCAAATCAATTTGGCAAAGTACATTCCTCTCATAACATAGTGTCCTAAAGTGAGCCAAATGCCCAAACGATACCATAACTATTTGATCAGAGTCATTTTAATACTTCAACTTCTTATTGTACCCAGATGCACCCTATAGGCCTATACTCATGACAATGTTACATTCCCCATTAAGACAAGGTGAACTCCAGCAAAGATTGGTTGAGTAACTTCAGTTAGCAGAAAAAATATAGTCAGATGTCCCATCGTGTCATGTTGAAAAAGAATGGTTCGGTTCCATTTCTGGAAACATGGTCCCATTACCACCAGTTCTGGAAATGGGGTAGATGTAACCAGCACCAGTTCCAATTCAGTTCTTAGCGGTTAGGGTTCATGTACCAAACTAAATATTTTTTTTAACAATTGATTCCAACCAAATGAATGGAACCAGAACTAGAATTTCCGGTTCCACTACCCAAATTACAAAATATGGAACCGCACACTATACCTCCTCTGGGATCATTCTGGTTGCCCCTTTTCCAGGACAAT